ATATATATATATATATATATATATATATATATATATATGGGTAGGTTCATGTATTCTAACTATCTATTGTATCTATTGTATAGATGTAGTTTAAAACCATGGATAAGGGTAATTTAATCATTTGAGTTAAAGGTAAAATAAATTCCATAATTAATCTTCTATAATCATGGTGCCATCCTCCCATCTCTTTAAAACAATCAACAACACCGTATCTCCCCATTCGTAATCCCTAACCCTCCGACGATCGGAAAAAAAGGAGGGCCAATTTCAGCGGCGATACTGCTGCCCACGAACGTCTGTTCAATTACCATATTCCTCTTATTTTCCTTTTATGTGAACAATCCTCAGTAATCATGAAAATCGAGACAACAAATTGGATACTATATAGCGTCACTCTCTTCCACTTCCTGCTTTTCTATTTCCATTTCGCTTAAATAATTGGAAATCAAATGTATTTTTTTTCAAATTTACGGCTTACTGGTGTGTTCATCGTGTCTTGCACGGATTGTGATGCGTTATTGTGGTGGTGTTAGGGAGGCACAGGGATCCAACGATGACTATGGTGGCGAAAATTGATAAACGACAGTCGCACTTCAGACTTTTATGCCCTAAGCCTTCATTCCCGGTGACCAATGAATAAAGCCATAATTTTGCTAGAATAAAGCCAAAGCCAAGAATATGGGTCAACGATGATCAGTATGGGTTTAATTGGAGTTATGTGTGGTTTCATATACACCAACTTCTGATGGTATCTTCCCCTACGATGGTGATTTTACAATCTAGGGTTTTCTTTTGTTTTATGAAATCAACCTGAATTGGGTATTGTTCGATTCTCAAGATCGTTTGACTATTGATTATCAGATTATTGGATTTTATACCATGGTATGTATATTCCCCTCTCTTATCTCTCATTTTAGATAATGCAACGAGGATTCCTCAATGGATGTTTTAATGAAAATCCAATCCTAAATTTGAATAAAATTGATTATGTTTCACCTAATTTTAGATCGTGTTTGCTGTAACACCCATAAAATCCAAGCCAATTTAAAACTTTTCAAAACATTTAAAAATCAACAGTTATTACAGATTCGTTTTCAAAATAGTCTATATCAGAGTTTTCCCAGAAACATAAACAAAACATGAGGAGCTGTACGATCATGCCTTCGCCTAGCCGCGATCACCAGATGTACCTGAAACAATAAACTAAAACTGTAAGCCTGAGAGCTTAGTGAGTTCCCCCAAAATACCGATACACCGCACATAACACATATACAAATACAACATATACTGGGTCCACAGCTTTACAGACTGGATCACCCCCTGGTCCCATATTGTGAGTCTGGAATGCCTTTCGGGCCCACAACTCACATCTGGATTGCCACCGAGCCCACAATACGAGTCTCCCTCAGCTCGTATCTGGAATGTTACCGGGTTTGTTGGTTACCGCACGGAGCAATATCACATCCACCCATCTCACATAATATGTCGACATATAAAACAGATAATGCACATATAGATAATCGCATGATACTACAGGTAGTCCTACAGATCTACCGAACTGGCATAGCAACTAACATGCAACACTAACTCATACTTAACATACTACCAACTGCTAGGATATCATATCCAATGGGCCGTCATTGGTGCCTTAGACCCCTTAGTATAGTGAGGATAACTCACCTCACACTGTCGACTCGAAGATAAACTGAAACACTCAGATCGCCGGCACAACTCCACCACCTATAACCACCGTAGAACCATGCTTGTAAATTTCCAATTCCCAAAATGTCCCCAGAAGTCAACTAGTCAACCCTTGGTCAAAGTCAAAGTCAACGGTCAAGGTCAACAATCCATGTTGACCTCAACTCGTCGAGTACCCT